GTCTAATAAAAATCATGATTTTTTCGTACAATTTGTCATAATATGTTTTTCTTTTCAAACTTATTCGATTGATTCATTTAAGTAGAGATATTTTTATATTTGTCGCTACTGAAGTTTCGCATGCTATTCTTTGCACATACCCGAGTATGCATATCTTTGCATGTGCATAGATATGCATGTGCATAACCTTCATGGACGTCCATTCGTAATGAAGCCTTACGTCTGCCTCTCAAGTTTCATCCTAACTTATTGACGTTGTCTGTCAATTAAACATCACGGAGGCATTAAGCCTGTTTGCTCTAATATTGTTTATAGGATTGTATTAGACTAATGTGACTAAAGAAAACCTATTTTATTAGGCATCAGGTAAACATCAAACTATGTACAAGTATTTCTTCTGCATGAAATAAAACTAAATTGTTTCAGAACAATTAATAATTTTTAATTGGCGTTAACATGGCGTTAACGTTGTTTTTTCATTAGGATTAAAATGTTATAAACTTAGTAAATTAACTGATAATTGGCTAACTTCGCTGTTATCCGTTGTTATCTTTTATGGAGTCCATAATTTATAAGTTTTGATGAGAACTCTCTAAGACAGTGAACCTATACTGAGATTTTTCTTCTTATTTTAACTAAAGATTTTTATTATATGAATTTTCTTTTTGGGATAAGGAAATAAAACTGAAATATTCTTTCTAAGGTCAAATGTATAACTTATAACTGTATATGAATAATCTCATGACGTTGGTTTATATTCGACCTTGTATATCAATCTGCCCCTTTGTGAAATTGTACCAATCGACGCTTGTCTATTGCTGGATGAAAGGACTTTAGACCTTATGGCATCAATATTAATATTTTTATAAATAAATATGTTTTTATATATAGTTTTCTGATCTCTGAGTTTTAGGATTTATGTATTTTTTCATTGGTTCCTATATGTATAGACACATTATATTAGATCAAGAGCTATTATCATTTCTAATACAAGAAGTCTGAAATTCAATATCTGTATAAACACAACTGTCCTTGCGAGATCGGATCATTCACTGTTTATAAATTAGATATAAAAAAATATAAAGTATTTATACCTAAAGTCACTCATAAAGTCAGTGGTGGCGTAGTGGTTAAAAGGCCCGCCTCTGATGCATGAGGACGCCGGTTCAATCCTGGCAAGTATCAATGTGATTTTTCCGAGTCACATGTACTTTCTAAGAGTATTTAGAAATCACTGATTAATGCATTCCCAAAGACGGTTGATGTTAGATAGGCGGCCGGTCGTAAAAACAATTAGCCAAAACTATTCGCAACATGTAAGGCAGACCCTGGCTTTTTTTATAATATGTATTTATATATATGTATGATATATATAGGTGACGAAGTGAAGTGAAGTGATAGATATAATTAAATGAAATTCAAGTTTTTCTGTACATATTGTCGCTGATTTTATTTTGTTTACATTTTATTTTTATTCGTGAAAACAGACCTTATTACCCATACCTAGTGTTCCCAAAAATCTGTTTGTTACTAATATATAATCAGTTATTATTGTTTGATCTCAATGAAATATACATGTTTTTGTTTTCGTTATTGGCTATCCCACTTCAATGTAAGTCAAATGCATCTTTCTTTAATATCTATACAAGCCCTAACATGTTTAGTCTTTTGTGTCATCTTATGAAGATTCTCCTTCAATCCGATGTCATATTTTTAGAATCTTAAAGTTTTTAGACCACTATTCATGGTCAAGAAAGTTCATGAAGTTAGAATACTTATTAATATTAATAAACCAAAGTTTATAATACACTACGGTAGTTATAAACCCTTCCACCTAAATAGCTTGCAAACGACGCCCTACAAAGACCACAAGCCATAGGAGAGCGCGTTCGAAAACTAGAATACAAACTTAACGTTTGATGTGTCGTTCGGAATATAAGCAATCGAATGACGCTGTTTGACCTGGTACGGTTAAAATATTTTGGCGAATTTCTAGAATATTCTTCGGATTGATAAGAAGTGTGGGCGAGGGAGGTTGAGAAGGGTGAGGGGAAAGCAGGGGGTTGTAGCCGACTGAAGTAGTGGTTTGTTAAATTAATTAGTTTTATTGTATTAGCGGGTTGGCATCGATCGTTCCGTGAAGCCATAAACTGCACAGAGAAATATAAATTGAATTTCATACAGCTTAAATATAATATAAAAAATATTTCCTGACCTCAACACACTGACTGTCGCTGTACATTTGGTTATATTTGAAGTTTTATAACACCTTTCATTTTGTAAATATGTTAACTCGTGATATCCAGAAACATTTATTCCATTACGCGTCTCTTATATATTCATATTTGATTTGATTCGACTCTGAATTTCAAAACGGTAGTGTACTTTGAAATATTTAAAGCGGACGCGACTTATGTCCACTGAACATCAAAAATATTTTATGTTATGAAATGTTTGTATATATATGTATGTATGTATGTAAATATTGTATGAAATCATTCATACATAAATCTTATCTGTCTCTCGTATTATGTAGATGTATTTTTGGTGATTTTCTTACGTAGGAAGGAGTGTTTCGGGCGGGTCTTTGCGCTCCGCCCCGTCTCACGCCGCCGCCCTCCTTGAGGTCAATATATACATATATATGTACAGAATCACTTATTTATATATGTTTGACCTTACATAACATACTTACTTTAACCTCTATATATATATAGCTTGATACTTCAACCTTATATTGGTCTCGAACCTTACGTACATTAATATATGCTAAGTGATGAGTCTAGAATGTAATTTCTGTATAAAAATTATTTGGAACTTCCCATCCATCAAAGAATACTTTTCGGTCCTTACCCCAAGTTCGCACGTACTACTGACGGCTCGTTTGCAGTATTAATTTATAATTTTTACCACTTATATTGTCACGTTTACAAAACGACGTTCAATTGTGACGTATAGTAAGTGACTTCGCCGAGTCCTATAACTGCATATTTCATATTAATATCGTCAACTTGAAGTTGTACTACAGGCTAAAATTGCCTCTGAAGATGTGCAGTTTGTCGTAATTTGTAAAACGTCTTTGGGCTATCATAATTTACTTAGGCTTCGTTTTTTGTGCTCTAACTTCTCGAAGTTATGGAAGAAAAGTTTAATTCTTTTTTTTAGATTATTTTACTTACACATATAATATCGGAAATTAATTAAATTTGTTGTCTTTTAAAGTCCAAACTTATCATCAGGACTATAAATCTAATTTATCACAAATTCAACTCTCATTTGCAATTATTGCATAAAATATAAAAAAAATAACAAGACTATTATACATATATTTATAATCGTGAAACTCGTAATACGATATGAATATACAAAAATAAGTTCCGTATATCAGCACAGTTGTAATGCATTTGTGCATTGTTTTGTTATTGTACATAGTGTTTGTGCTTAGTTGTGTCTCGTGTGTCACATGTCGCTGCACGCACTCCCGTTCCATATATCAACGTAATAGAAACATGAGAAGCAGATACAGCAACCGATGACATAGATACATCATCACACCATCACGCCATGGCTGGCCTATGGCTACTAGACATTTACATGAGAAGCTTCCGTTACACCAAACATGATAGATAGATACCTATAACTAATAATTCTATTGTATTGAGAGCTAAAATTTTAAGTATTCATTTAAATGAAACTAATATTATTGTAAAAACTACATACTTCCGACGTTTCGGTTACTTTTCAGTAATCGTGATCACAAAGACGATATTCTTTTGTCCTATCTAATTTATAAACTTTCTAAATGACTCTTATTCTTATATTTAATTAAAAACATCGTCATTTTAATCTGAATGTATATAATTTTAAATTAAATTAAATTTAACGGTATCCTCGCGTTTATTTTTAAATTATTTTATATCTACATGATCCCAAAATTCTGTTCCTTTATAGCAATCTTGCTGAATTGCATAAGAGATGAAAATGACACATTATATGTATGGAACATGTACTTATAAAATAGTAAAAAAACGTGTAGTATCCGAAAAAACTACATTTAAATGTCACCATCATCAACATCAGCCTATCAGAGCCCACTGCTGAGCTGCCTCATCTCACATAGAGAAGGTTTGAGCATTAATCACCACGCTTGCTCAATTGGTTGGCGATTTCAAACTTGTAATTTGATATAAGCCCAGGTTTCTTCACTATGTTTTCCTTCATCAGCGATGTCTAAATACTCTCAGAAAGCACATATGTTTTAAGATCCGCTTGTACCATGTTGTATTATTAGTGTTAATTCTCATATTGATTATATTATTAGTTGTTCAACTGATCAAAATGCAGACATCAGCATGTCCACGCTAATAATGTTTATTTAATTATTATGTATGTTTGGCAATCATATATCAGAGAAGTCTTTCCTTCAATGTCAAGGCTGACATACGAGAATTGATTTGTAAATATTATAAATATTTTTATTATTAATTTATATTTATATAATTGTTAAATTTTTATACGTTACAAGACCATTATTGCTTTAGTTTTGTTATATATGTATATTATATATATACTGAAATTCTTCCTGATTGTGTAAGATAAGTAAGTTTTCTAAAAGATTTAATTACTATGTACATTATCAATAATTAGAATTTGTCAGCCACACGCTTATAACAAATATTGCTTGTCCGAAACAATTTGTTATAAGGTAATTTGTAAATCGCGACATCGCCACCTCATAGAGAACTTTTAATCATTATTAGTCAGGAGTGTGTGTACTATACAATTTTTAACTTATTTAACATTACTCTATTTGAAACTTACGTGTTCTACAGTCGTCTGTTTGCGTTTGAAAATAAATATATTTTGAGTTTTTAATTTTATACGAACACTTATTGGATTTACAATGCGAGAACTAATCATGTGCAGTATCTACTTACGTTTATAATTACATCAATCTAAAAGTTATAAGCCATACATTGTCGCACCGCCAACACACACAGTGTCCTGTACCTAATAATATTAAGATGTGTCGATATCCTCAGCGGGTCGAACGCGAGCTCGGCGTCGTACGAGTTGACGGTGGGAGCGGGCGCGGGGCCGGGAGCGGGAGCGTGCGATGACATGGCAGGAGCGGGAGCGATTCTCAGCTTACAACCACACGCGCCCCACAACCCACCACCAGATCCAAGAAAGAGGAAGAATCAGCAATAGTTAGTATTAACATCTACATTAATCAGTATACTTACAGGCTAACGTCACAAAGTTCCTTAAAGAAACTGATGACGCGAAAAAAACATCGAAAAGCGTTCACAAAAACGTGACTTTGTATTATATAATAGTGTAAAATTACCAAAATATATGACGAACAGCACAATTATGTATAGTTATTGCGATCATGCGAAATACATGTAACAGAAGCTTCTGTAGCAATGTACGATCAAGGAATGCTGATTGTAAAAAATGCAAGTACTATATCATTTTGTTGAATTCCGACTGGCCACATTAGTTGGTAGACGATGCAATGCTCAGTATATGGCTGTAGAAAGTAATGTGATTTTATTATAAGAATATTTATATTTTAATAATAACAAAAATAATCAATAAGGATAATGCTTCAGTTATTTTGCGAGATATATGTATATAAAAAATTTATTTAAAGTATTCTCGTTTACCAAATATCAGTTAGGTTTCATTGTGCTTCGTTTTTAATGCGAATATTTTATAATTATATCGATCTAACCCTGTCCAAGTGTATGATGTAAATGGTACTTGGTCTAGCAAGTTAAGTAGAGGGACTCAGTTGCAGTTCGGATGGCTACGGGCTGGTCTGCGAGGTACCGATGTCTGGGCACGCCGCTGTTGTGCCACAAATCGCTACCACCAACAGAAAACGAAAGCCTTCCTCCTAGTGAGTATACACCTTTAATACCTTCACGTCTTTTAACTAAAACACTGTTTCAAAGTCCATTCATTCAGATCAAAGGAAACGCAAAGTTTATTTGTAAAGTTCAGTTAATTCTGTAGGTTTGTTTTTTTGTTATAACTCAACTCCAAAATATTTAAAGGATTTCCATGTACAAATTCTTTTGCTCAACTTCAACCTTATATACTAACCAACGAATTTATAAGTTATTTTCTTTGAATTACATCATATATCCATATTTACATATTATATATAGGTTAATTGCTCGTTAAAGATCGAACTTGATGTGTCCATTGTACTCTTAATAATATATATTAAAGCACAGATTAACTTCTGAAACAACTCCATATATGTACATACGGAGATTATTTCGTTTCAACAGCCACAAAGTTATCTTATTGTCATACAAAGATTAATTACGGGAGATTTGTAATTTACTAACTCAAATGTTAACGACACGGCGGGCCTTTAACTAAAGTTAACTTTTAAAAGGTTTCGCGTAACAATAACCAGTAATTAAAGTACCCGGACAAACGTTACGTCTGACACTTACAAATTTATATTGAAAGAATATTATACTTTGAGGGCCGATGTAATGAAAACAAAGTTTACGAAGTCCTTCGCGAGTCTATTTTAATAATAAATTAATTTATATAAAACATTAAAAACTAGCGAACAAGATGATATACTAAATTGTAATTTAATATTCTCCTGTATAAACAAGTACTCCATACTATTTAGCATCGATCGAATTTTAATTTAGTTATGTTTAATAAAAGTAAAATTAAATTAAATTCAAGTAAATTATCTAAATAATATTCGTTGTATTTATATCAAATGTCCCTATCAAAACATATTAATTGCTATCCACGTAGTGACTTGATCGTTCCCGAGGGCGTTGTGCGTCAATTAAACTTAAAGAGCGACACAAGTAATCACTAACTATTAAATAACATTTGATACTATTTTGATATTCACTGAATTATACACCACACTTGACCTTTCGATTAGCGAGTCTGTTAAGAAATAATGTTAGCAACAGTAAACTCTAAAAATGATTATTTTATGTTTATAATATACTAGTTTTTGTCCGCGACTTCGTCTTAACTTCGAAATTAGTAATATATGGATAACTGACCGGACGAACTCTATTCCGTCTTAGAGGCCGTAAATAACAAGATATTACATTTTTTTCTGTTGCTTTCGAACAGAATTAAATATCTTATATCCCTATCCTGCTTCTAAGCTATCTTTCCATAAATTTTCATCCATATCCGTCCAGCCGTTCTTGAGTTGTAAATAGTGTAACTAACACGACTTTCCTTGATATGTATAAGTTTTGTTATAATTTGTAAAACCATATTACAGCGGTACTGCCAGCGCTTATGACGACGATGGCTCCGAAGATACTCGTTCAAGAAGCACCGTACCAGATAAGAGGTACCACAATATATATATAACTCAACTATACTATAAATTAATGAAACACAATACTATATTATATATTTATTTAAAGGCAAAACCACAGCGAGATCGAGAAACGTCGTCGCGATAAAATGAATACATACATATCAGAGTTGAGTTCTATGGTGCCTATGTGTGGGGCCATGGCTAGGAAGTTGGATAAGCTGACTGTCCTGCGTATGGCGGTGCAACATCTTCGTTCAGTCAGAGGAGCGTTATCAGCCGGCCCGCTGACAGTAAGGCCACGCCCGGCTTTTCTATCAGAGACGGAATTAAACGCTCTGGTACTGCAAGCTGCAAGGGACTGTTTTCTGATGGTCGTAGGCTGCGATCGAGGACGTCTGCTCTACGTTTCCGCTTCCGTCTCCAGAATGCTGAATTACGATCAGGTGCGACCGAAAAACTTCTAATCAAATATCCCATTATAAATCGTGATATGATTGAAGCGAATTTTTTAAATGCTTGGCGAATTCTTACTACATATATATTGCATTCTGCGAGATCGATTATAGCGCTAAGTGCTATCTATAATCTATATAATAAGTCTTTCTTATTCAAAGTGTTGTTATTTCAGTCGGAGCTAATCGGTCAGAGTCTGTTCGATATGCTTCATCCAAAAGACGTCGGGAAGGTGAAGGAACAACTATCATCATCGGACCTCAGTCCGCGGGAACGGCTCATTGATGCTAAAAGTGAGAATAGATTTTATTGGCATTCTAAATAATAGAAACTGAATTTCTTGCATTTTATTCCAAACTTATCGTCATTATGCTACCTCTAGCCATGCTGCCGTTGAAACCGGACGTCGTAGCTGATGCATCCCGATTATGCCCGGGAGCTCGTCGCTCATTCTTCTGCCGCATCAAATGCCGCACTGAACCTAGCCAGGCCAGCCAATCCAGCCAGTCTGGCCAAGCCTGCCCGCCGTGCCAAAACACACAGCCCAGCGAGGTCAAGGAGGAAGAGCCAAACTCCAAGATGAAGAAGAAACAGGCTCACGAGAAGAAATTCTGCGTAGTCCAATGCACAGGTTAGCGCGGACAATGAAATTTGATAACACTCCTTTCATATATAAGATACTAGCTTTCCGCCCGCAACTTCGCCCGCGTGGAGTTCGCTTATATCGCGTTTCCAAGAGAACCTTTCGAAAGTCTGGAATAAAAACTATCCTATGTTCTTTCTCAAGGTCAACTCCATCTCTGTACTAAATTTCATTAAAATAAGTTCAGTGGTTTAGGCGTGAAAGCGTATTTTCCATTGTTTATCCCCCGCAACCCCCATAGTGAGTGGAATTTCATAAAATCCGTTCTTAGCTGACCTATACTCGGCGAAAGGAATAATCCTACCAAATTTCAAGTCGCTACGCCTTATGGTTCCAGAGATTAAATATATAGATAACAATACATATGGCTTCTACTGACCTAGTATCAAAACACGTTAGAAGAATTCGTATAACAAATGAAACACAGTACTCTGCAGGTTGATAAGTTCTAACATAGTTCGTGTAAATAATTTTTTGCAGGGTATCTAAAATCTTGGGCCCCGGCTGAGATGTCTGACGGGTGCTGCACGGACGCCGGGTCTGAAGAGGAATCCTGCAATCTATCTTGTCTGGTGGCTGTGGGGAGGGCGCTGGCTGATCTAGCTCAGCATCCCGACTCCGCCCCACAAACGAGATACCTTCAGTACATCTCGAGACATGCTCCCGATGGGAAGTTCCTGTTCGTTGATCAGAGGTGCGTTGGTCACATTACTGTAGACATGTTCATGAAATAAAAGATTTTTTAGATCTACTTTCACGTATTGTATTAGTCTTTATTTAGAGATTTATATTTCTCCACAGAATCATAATCACGGGTAGTCGTTGGGCATAAGTATCGTTAGTCTTGTATTTTGTCATCTACCGCCAAGGATTGTTTAGTTTCTTGCTTTATTTGTTGTCTGAACTACTATATGGTTCCATAAAGATTTTTTTAAAAATCAAACGCCTAAATGTCCAAACATATTTATAGTAAAAGTAAGACCAAAAAAAAATTCACGATCAGTATATTAGGAATAAATATCTGATCTTTATATTTTCCAGGGTTACCATAGCTCTGGGTTTTCTGCCCCAAGAGCTTCTTGGCACGAGCATGTACGAGTATATTTTGGCCCCGGAATTGGGTTCCGTCGCTAGGATCCACAAAGCGGCGTTACTAAGACGCGATTCTCTACGCACGCCTCCCTACTGTTTCAGGAAAAAAGACGGCACATACGTCAGAATACAGACACATTTCAAACCCTTCAAGTAAGTTCTTGATATACAGGGTGACTGGTGAATTACTATCGATATTTGAGGACGTGATATTTGACGATCATATATGACAAAATAAAAATTAATATAACATAAATATTAATAAACTTCTAAGTAAAGTTAACCAAAAGTTATGTAATTAATTACGCATCGTATGAACACCCTACAGATTAGGTATACACACACACACACACACACACACACTCGCGCGCGGCGGCGTGTTGTTGTATCAGCACGCCGCCGCGCGCGTCCACACTTGGAACGTATACACACTTTATTTATTTATACGGAAATTTGGTCAAAAATTAAGTACCTATTTTTTTTACATAATTCGAATGAGAATCATGTACCGAGTATGCTCCTTAAACATTGATAGTAATTCACCAGTCACCCTGTATATCTATGTAATAAGATAAATACTTTTATAGATTTGATGATAACTTTATATCGTGTTAAAGTTTCATGATAATTCGTTCATCAAAATCGGTGATTTCTATTTAAGGAAATAAGTAAACTCGTGTAAGAAAGCATGTCTGACGTCGTAGCAAACTATTTTTTGTAAATATTCTCGAAAAAATACTACGAATAGCTAATACAGATATCATAATGTTTTTTTCTGATGCTTAAAAAACCTGCTGAAGTTTGCAATTGCACTGCAATCACAAGGAGCAAAACACAAAAGCTAAAAACGAGGGAAAAAACTGCAATTTTCAGAGCATATATCGGATTTTATTGGAAGAGTCATTTATTCCTATTAACCGATAAAGTCCATTCGATTTAATTGAATGTCACTAAAAATGTCATACATTTTCAGGAATCCATGGACGAAGGATGTAGAGAGTCTCGTCGCAAACAACACCGTGGTCGTAGGGAACAGGGTCCAACCGCCGCCCGATGATTGCTCACAATATGATATTTATAAAATAAGTACGTTATACACAGACACACATACTCTGACACACACACATACTCACACATACTCACACTCACACACACACATTATAATATAATATAAATCCAATAATCTTAAAGGAATCTTATAAAAATATTCCAGATGACATAGACCGACCTCTATCAGAAGCGGACGTCGAGATGCAGAGACTGATAGACTCTCAAGTCGAGTCTCACAAGATCGGTTCAACCATCGCTGAGGAAGCTCTAAGAAGATCTTCATCAGACTTCTCAGATCTGACATCCGATCTACTCCAAGACGCCGTATTCAGTCAACAGGTATAATTGTCATATCTTCGTGAATAGTGCAAATCCGTTTAACTAGCACTGGATAATTCCTCGTATCTACATTGGATTCTGATTAGGTATTTTTTCACGATTAGTAATTATTTAGTGTTTATTATATTACTAATTGTGTAAAAAATTATCTTAATAGTCGTTAATATACATAGAAAATATTTCATCTTAAACATTCTTCTGACAATCTGTTTCCAATGTAGATACGCGGAATTATCCAGTGCTAGTTACGCAAATTTGCACTAACCCCGTTGATATGCAACTTCAGCGTTAATTACGAAGTGTATATTCTAATATACTTATAATTCCAGTCGTCGCTCGTGGACAATATCCTCGGCGGAGAGATGAACTATTCAAACCAGGTCCGCAACAACGTCCCTCTGAGCGCTGCTGGCGGAAGTTCGCCATCACCGGAAGCTGAACTCCCTCTCAGCCCATTACCAGTCTCGCCCCCCCTCCCCCCTCTCGGATTAGACGGAAATGGCGAGGCTGCTATGGCCGTCATCATGAGCTTGCTAGAAGCGGACGCCGGCCTTGGCGGACCGGTCAATATCTCTGGACTGCCATGGCCCTTACCTTAGATGACGTCACAATGTCTTAGATGACGTCACAATGTCTTAGATGACGTCATAACGTCTTAGATGACGTCATCAACCGTTTCCATGGTGATAACGACATAGATCAATCACCATTCCGTTTTGTGTAGTTCCAGTATGTGGTTTAATAATTATCACATTGTCTCTTCCCCGCCATTGAATCGATGCATATTCGCATTACGTATATAGTAGTTACCAAATATGTAATTCTTTGATGTTTTTTATTATAAAATATTTCGACCAATATATTTATATTTGTAAAACTATCGACTGAAGTAACTTCTCTGTCCATAATTTCCTTCTATTAGGACGTTTATAAAAATTATACAATTATTATACTATTTATGTGCCGGATGTTTTTGATGATGCACGATCGTCTAATATAATTAGAACCCAATCTGTCCTAGTAAAGTAGAAGTAAAGAGATCATATAATTTAAATTGGAAAGGTATGACCATTATATCTTGAAACGTTGATATATTTCTTTTACATTCCGGCACATTATATATATCGGTGAAAAGGGTAGACAGAGCCAATGGGTGAAGCTTTAAATTCATATATTTTCGACGTTTAGTTGTATATTAAATAAAATTCGAGGTTCTACTTGCACACTACAGCCATCTATCGGTTGTCAAGTGCTCTGTTCTAAGTAAGTAGGTATAAATGTTGATATTTTCAATTGTTTCTGTAGCGAAATATGTGGGAAATTAATTTAATATGATTTTATGATGAATTTTTACAGCCTATTTTTAGCATGTAAGAATTATCTTCGTCAGTTTTATCTAATAAATGATATGTATAATTAATTATTACAATTTCAATGTGAAACTTCTTAGAAGTCAATGGTTCATAGTAAATGTAAACTGGTGGCCATACATTTTAACTCTAGTTGTAAACGTGCAATTTATCAATATATTTATGATATAATTAATACGATTTATTTCTACTGCGATCATGTTTTAGATTTATTTTGTAAATATTATAGGTATGGGTTAGTTAAGTTTATTTCACTAAAATCAGATCTGTCGAGTTACTGAGCTTCGTTAAACAGACAGACAACCAAATAGTGATAAAACTCATGTAAATATCGATAGCACAGTAACGTGGCATCTGATTCAATATATATATGATCGTTTTATTATTTCTCATGTTTTGTTAAAAAACGGTCGAGTTACAATACTGTATTGTTGATTGAAGTTTTTTTTCTGTTTAAGTTTTATTTTTTTATTATATAATAGTGTTCAGAATTCACACATCTTTTATTTCGCCCTGCATTACAACTAGTATTGACTCGCAACTTCGCTTGCTATCAGAGCTCAGCAATAAACATGGCACAGTTAGGTATAAAATAAAAGCCATTGGAACCCTTATCTAGTGTATTCAACATTCTGATCTATATAATCGCAGTAAACATCTGCATAGCACAAATAATTCAAAAGGAGAGGTACAAAACGCAATATACTCGGCATGTATTGTTACTGCACTCATCGTACCACAATGTTACATCACCAGTATTAAAACAACTCCTGAAATATTAAAATATTCACACATTTCATAAATGCATAATAAATATAGATATTAGTTAGGAAATGCCCATTTCCGCTTCCTTGTGATACATCATAATAAATTATATTTTAAATCACAACACCCGAAGCGCATTACATGTTTCTTCACCAAATCTATTCTAGGTTTCATGTTATTTCTTGTGAGTTATTAAATACAGCGATATAAAACATTGCCAGTTAATTATTCCATCGAGTCCCCGTATCTGTTTGTGGGTGTTGACGGGGCTTTTGGTCTGGTCACCGATGGGACAATCGCTGGATCCATTCTGAAAATTTAATAACATTTTAGACTGATTAAATATATTTGGGCAAGGGTTAATTGTACTTGAGACTCACTTGTATGGGTCTTGGCGGGTTTCAGAATATTCCATTCTGTTTTTACGTCTCAGCTCATCATAGGATAAGGTTGGTTGTGACGGGGCACTCCCAGGAGTTTGAGGAAATGGACCTGTTAACGAGCACTCCACTACATATGGTTGTAATATATGTTAGGAAATTAGTATCAAAATCAAATAGTAACCCAAATGAAGTAAATGAGATAAGAATTGCTTTGTTTACATGATATACTGTCAGAAATCAAATTAATATTTTGATAAATGCCTAAACCTGCTATTATATTGCAGAAAATCTCAGTCTCAATCTTTAAGAAATCATCAACTCATAATACTGTTAATGCTTTTTGATTAAATAATATTTAATAATTTACCAGAATCTGAACTAGGATTGTAGGAGTCGTCACTGAATAGTGGCCGATCAGTGTCTAGATCCAATGAGTTTCCTGGACCTGCATCCGAGTAGATATCGTCAGATGTTGCACCAAACATTGCCGGAGAATTCCTCGGAGCCAGTGATGTATTAGGGCTGCAGTACAATTATTAAGGTTTCGTTATCTATATTCATTGAGAATGATAAATGAATGTGTAAAGATTATGTCTTATAAACTTATACTACCTACCCTCTCCCTTCTTTTTTCTCCCTGAGCAATTGTCCAATATAGCTGCCTGGGAGTGCCATCAACTTTTCCGCACATGCTCTTTGGTATGACAGTTTCCCTACAAAGTAGCCAACAATCACCGCAAACGCTACCTTCGGAACTGCTCCAAACCTCGGGTTGGGTTTTAAGTAACCTGTGTGGAATATTCAGTATTTAGAATACCATTATTTCTACTTGTAAATAATCAACAATTGAGAACTCCTCTTAATAGTACACTTTGGTAAATGATACAGTTAGTTCAAATATACTATTGAGAAATATTGTAAGGCTTGAAACATATTATTAACAAATAGAATCTTAGTCACAGTACGAAAATCAGTAATTTATTATTTTTATGATTCTCATAAAGATATTGAATGTTGAGATGGCAGCTACATAGAAAAACGTCGAGACATCACCCTTCACACATTTCTATATAGTAACTATTAATATAATAGTCATATTTCAACATTATTTTGATACTGACCATTTTGCACACCGTAATACGTGCCCAAACCGAGAAGTGTGCCAAAAGGCATGGAGCGTTGATAAAAGCTTTCTGTATTACATTCCTGAAGCACGCGCAGCTCGTCTTGAGTGAACCTGTGCTGCGCCTGTTGGAGATCCGACCACAAGTTATAAAAGGGTTTACCGCTTTCCTTCAATTCTCACGAATCCATTCTTACCGGTGAAATTCGAGCCGGAGGGCTACCATCTTCGTAACCATATAAATTTGGGTCATTCATATTTTTTTATATAATTAATACTATATCTGATTTCTGGGATAAAAGTTATGGTTTTAAATAATTTTATCTCAGATCTGATCGCCAGGGAAGAAACGTCAAATGCAATATTCGCAATATTGATTTTGACATAGATTACAGTTACAGCCGTCATCCGTAAGTCAAAGTCAAACCGAAAATCCGATAAATTGTATACAGCAACACATATTAGTGACTCTTTAAAATGTGTTAATTATCTGGGTAATATTTTAATTGGGGCTGTTATAATTCGTTAATTTCTCTCTCTCATTACGATACAGCAATATAGCAGAAATATTTTAAACATGAACTTTTATTATATCGCCTTAATTTTTTCATAATTTTCTCGCATATAACATTACAGCGAACTAAAGACTAGGGGTAAGGTAAGCTTGTCATCCATACTGGCTGGGGGCAACATACAATTTACATCATTATTATTTTATATCAATTTTCCACTATAGCCTCTTTTTACAATTTGAGTGCTATAATAATTTTATTTTTTATATGTAAATTATAATCAACAATTCTAGCATCTCTTCAATTTAAAATTACCATTATACTTTTTTTGTTATAAATTTACAATTAACAACGTCACAGCAAGTTTTATAATATTTCACAAAGTTTTTCAGATTGGAAAAAACACCTTTCATATTTTTTGTTAAAATCAAATTACTCCTTGATTATTAAGTACAACAAAACAACATAAGTATTGAAGTCTAAGATTTTATTACTTTCTTTGTGGAAAAATAAAAGAATTTTTCTCCGTTTATCGTATGTTTTCCCATATGAAATTTTGTAAAATCTTTTTTAGTTTTGTTCACACCAGTTGTGTACAATATTTCATATTATAATAATTTCGGAGAGCGATCGTTTGGAATATCCTTATTAGGACTGTGTTCTTGAGTCCTTTCCAGTTCTTGTAATTTTTTTATTTATTAGCTTGTCCATTTAGTTAAAATATTTTCTATTAGAAAACCAAATTTCATATTATTATTATTCCATTGTTTAAGCATCTGCCAGGCTTTGATTCGTTTCAAATTATATATTTTTCATTCGATGAAGAATTAATATTTCATTAGAGCGGAGATCAATAGATTAACAAATCGATAATAATCAAAATTTAAAGTCAAAGACTTCATTCGTATAACACCTCCATCCATTGACAAACTTTTCCAAAACTTAATAAATAATAATAAATAAACAATGGTATCAAAACGTTTAAATTCGGTTATAAAACACGTGCTATCTATTTTTTATCTTTGCTTTTATTTTTGTCCTTTGGCTCACTACCGTTTTGTCTCTCCGTATAATATTTACGCATAAGATTGCCGAGATAGCTATCGTTGGGTAATTGACGAAGTTTTTTATCACACTCCATCAGATACGATATTCTTCCGTAGTAATGACCGATGATTGCAGCCACCATAACTTTTGGGAACGCACCGAAATGTGGATTGGCCTTCAGTATCCCTAAAAACAGATTCACAGAAGTAAGAATTACAGTAACGTCAACATATATTCTGAATTATATAACATCATGCAATGTGAATACGTCAGGATAGTTCTTACTTCCATGAACTTGCATGGTGAACTGCTAGCTGGTACTCACCGTTTTTAACGCAGCCGTAGGTGGCGGCAGCGAATACCGAACTGAATGGCACGCAACGCTGGTAGAAACTCTCTCTGTCGCATTCTTCGAGCGCCTTAATCTCGTCCGGGCTGAACTCGTAATAGCGCTGAAATTTAGTACATATATATTTATATCTAAATATCTATATAACTTATAAAAGCCGATATCAAAGCTGTGATCAGTACCAGAGGGTGTGTTACGTTCCTCGCTTCTGGACAGGTCCACTTTCCATCCGACTTGTCACAACTCTCCTCCTTCCCATTTTTAGTTTTGTCGCTCATAACGGATCACATCATTTCATTTTAAACTTTAGAAAGGGTTATGTTAGTTATCGTAAAATAAATAAATCATCTTCAATTTTGCACAAATGACATTGTGAGACGTTTGAAATCTTAAATTCAGCCAGATCTTTAAAAAAAAAGCAACTCAACTCTGAAAGAGTTTTATTGCAAAGTCTCTTTATTTTTCTTTTGTAAACACTGGATTGGATAATGTATTTTTTTTATTTCACTTTCTATTAAAATTTTAAGAAAAAGGCCAGAAGTCTTAGCATAACAATGTATGTAGTCACTGGCAATTAAAAGTCGTCATGAAAAGGTTGAATATAAACATGGCCGATAGTGTTATGAAATAACTTATTAATGTCAAATTCGTAGTCACTACATTTAATAATGCCTTTATTTTGTATATGGCACGTTAATATTCCCGTTTTATCTTAGGGATACGTTCAAAGCGACAGCATGCGTCTGGTTGTGGTGTTTCTGGTACATACATTGGCTGTGCGTGGTGGGGTCGGCGACCGTTATAGTGATTACTCTGCAGCAGGTCTGCCTAATTATAACATGGATTATGGGAACCGGGGCGCGGCACACGTTGACGAGTATCCTGACCGATCGCCCGATGCTTCCGTACTTCTAGACTACAAATACGAAGAAGACTCACGTGGTTTGTTTCGTTAAATGCTGATAGCGATGTTATTGTGTCCGTTTAGATATTTCATTGACATATTTCTTTCCTTACAGATGCGGTCAAGACATTTCCAGGTAAACACGCTGATGAAGACCTATGGCAAAAACCGAAAGCAAAAGGTCGAAGATCAAATAAAATTACTCATAATAATGAAGGGGAAATAGACGCTAGTGAAGATTTAGTCCCAAAATATAAATCAAACCGTCGTTTCATAAAACATCGAACTCGTATAAAAGATGCTGAAATAGAAAAACCCAGTAGAAGACTCGTACATAACCCTAGAAGAAGTGAAAACATTGATGATTTAGACGATAGAGATGATTTCGAATTAAGTAAAAGGCATCCACATGAAGGTAATATAGATTCTGATAGATTTGCAATAAGACACACAACATTGAGAGTGCCTAGAAGAAAACCACGAGACAGAACGATCAAACAAGCGCCGGATCCCAGCTTCGAAGCTGACAGTGACGAAGATATTGCAAAACTTAAAAGAGTCGATGATTCTGACAATATAGATAACATTATCAAAAATCATCCCCTTAAAGATTTAGTAAAGAATAAAGTAAATTCTAAAGCCTACCCGGACTATGAAGAATACGAGAACATGGATTTAAAAAGAATCAACAAATTAAAGAACAGACTACCGGAACTGTTTCGCAGAACTAAAGGTAAATATTTTCTTATTTATTCTTACAACTGAACTATACGCTTAACTTTACAACTATCAACGTATTGTTATTCTAAAAATATTTTTTTTCCGATGGGATTTTAATTTAAGTCACATTTGTATTTCAAATCATGTTAAAACCTCGTGTTTTTTGAATAAACAACGCATTGTCATTGAATTCAAATTGTTATAAATTTTGTGATTGTCTCTAAATGTCACGGACTAATAGAAGATTTGTGTGTGCCCAGCAAGTGAACCGGAGCCAGCTAGCACTCGGAGATTGCAGGAATTTTATTACCGTCGCGCATTTCCATCTGAAGAAGCAGAAACGTCGACGGTAACATGGAAACCAGTTACTACTACGACAGAAAAACCTACCTCTTCCGAGGTTCAAACCACACAAACTACCAATGCAACTGAGCCGGCTCCATCCGTTCAAACCACAATGAAAATCAACTCAAACTTATCACTAGCGGAGCAATCGAGATTGTCCATACTAAAGAAGGCACAGAGAAAAGAGAGTTCCAAAAACAAGACAACAACTAAACCACCAGTTCTATTGCAAGTGACGAACAAGTTGCAAACGATGGTGATGGTCGAACGTATACATCAGGAACCAGTACTTCGGGCGCGTCAAATCTTCGAGGATTCGCCAGAGAGAATACAGAAGGCCAAAGAATTGATGCGGCGCAAACTCATAGCTGGTGCCCGCAACATACACGAACTGACCGACAATTGGGATGAATTGATCTGTGATTACATAGACCTGTCTCTACTTGATAATAAAACTAACGATTTCTGTTACTCAGCCTGTACGATACTGTTAAGTGTAATATTTAACTGTGTAATAACATTAATTTATTAATAAAAACAATGCGACATTTCCCGGAAAATGTGTTTTACTGACAAATTTGAAACTAAAAACTAACTATGAATCGATATATAAAAACAAAACAGAGGGTCATTTTCATGACCAGAAATGGTTTTAACCCATCGACGTACTGATGATTTAAATAAAATAATTTCAGGAAATCGTTATGACATACATATTAGTAATTACTTAGGAATAATGAAAATTATACAAAACCAATAACTCATAAATATCCTTTCACATACCAATGAACACAGTGATAGCAATACAAACAAGGATCATTTTTAAGCAGGAACTATGTACATTGTTTCAGCGCCAGAAACCACTACGACGAAGCCTGCCAGTGTGGCAGAGAGGGAACTGAGGGCTCTGTTAGGTCATAGACAACGTAAAGACATACCAGTGACTGCACCCATTCAGAAGCTACCAGCAACCTTCGCGCCGTACGCAGTAGACGCTTACGTGGATGACCAATGGAACACATTCATCGTCACGAACAACACTCATCGGTTAAAACACTCAATGTACATCACTATTATAGTTTTAATAAACTACTTGCAATATTATATATAGACAGTTTATTTTATTAATAATTTCTTTTAGCATAACAATACACCTAAGTGATTAGATTCCTCTAGTGTTAACTTAGTCACAGTAAGAACACCCTGACGGAATTTTAAAAGTTTTTATAATAGCATCCATAACATTTTATGAATGCAATAATTACTCTAGTTTAAAGTAAGGTAAAATGGTCTTCATGTGGTAACATGCTAGAGTTTAGCTGTGGTCAAGTTACTACAGCTCAAACATGTGCTGGCTCGACCGATAAGTACCACCATCTCACAGAAGATCGGCGTGAAGTAGTCTTTAATAGCTGCGTTTCGTCCGATAAATGAGAGAGCTGGTTGCCCTTTCCCCGTTCCCATCTTTTCCTGCCACCTCTCCTTCCAACCCTTTAGGCCTTCCTCAACAAAGAAGGCTAGCAAAGCGTCCAAAGCAACTTTCATGTTTGCACATGTCCATGGGCGACGGTGACTACTGCCCATCAAATAGACCGTCCCACTTTTGACATAAAAAATATTTAGTTAAATATTTCATTACTAATGAATATATATAGTTACTTATCTTCTATAACAAAGCGTTTAATTAATTATCTGCATAATAAAATTGTCAGATTGATCCTCGCCCAGCGAGGCGCCTCCATAGTTACCCAATTATTTATTTCAAGACACATCACTATCGAACTCATTTCATTATTAACAAGTTCACGAACTGATATTTAACCGTAGTTTTTATAATTCAGTTTAAACTATCAAACGTCAGCTTATATATTGTTTATAACAAATGACAACCAAAATTACTTTAAGTGCTCTGAAATATCAAATGGCGTTCCATATCAGAGGTAAACGAAAAGCATCACACTTATTTATTAAACACAATCGATATTTCAAACGTTTGAAAATTTTAACTGATGTGTGGCACTAATAATGTATGTGTATTGGTTTTGTAGTACGAATATTTTTTTCATACAATATGTGGTCTGGGAAACATCTAATTGATATTGAAAAATATGTGTTTTTTGACATCAACCTTACTAAATATTACTGTTCTAATTTTCATTCCATTCTCCGATTAAATGGAATACAATAATTCTACCAAAAAAGATTTTGGTTTTTATATAAATAGTCCATGATTGTCGAGTGTTGAACCTTATTTTTTATTAGACTAGATAGGCTTAGGCTTAGGCTTTAATATCATTCCACCCGTTGGATTGAGGAAATGAAGTAGTAGGTAGTAAACAAACTATTTCAGTATTAGCCTATTCATCCCTTTCTTGAAGACACGGAAATTATAGCTCGAAGGAAACACAGAAGCAGGGAAACTGTTACAGTCCCTTAATGTATCGTTCGGATGCGAGGAAGATCTACTACTACTACTACAAGTACTACTACTACACCGTAGATCTCTTTGAACCAGATTCTATTTCATTATAAAGATGTTATTAAATTAATTATCTTATCAACATCTAACTATAATCAACCGTTAACAGATCTCATGATATATTGTTTTCGTCGTATTGTTTAAAGACGTAATAAAATAATTATTAAAACGATCAAGATTCATCATGTATGTATTTCTATAAATGAAACCAATATTATTCGGATTACAACGTGTATTTTATTATTTTAAAACTACATACTCCCGACGTTTCAGTTACTTTTCAGCAACCGTGATCACGAGCAGAGTAGATTTAAAAATAATTGAATACGCGTAGTAATCCGAATAATATGAGTTTCATTTAAATGAATACTCTACTAATATAAAATGCGTAATTATACATATAAATAATGCTTTTTAGAAATAATGACCATTCGGGGAGCAGAAGAAAATTGTTTTTAGTAATTATTAAGCATTTTATTTAAAGGATTAAATTTAACTGTTTCCGTAGCATCGTTTTTAAACTTTAATATCACTTATAAATTAATTATTATTATATTTTATATAAATTTTAACAGTAAGCAAACAAATTATTTGCTGTTGCTCTTCTATTTTTATTTTGATATAAAGTTTTTGTCACACAGTTTTAGTAGTCGTGATTGAAGTAATTGTTTGTAATTCAGAGCCGATTGATATAGTGTACGTTTCAAGGACTTCCTTAATTTTAAAACAAAAGTTTCTTATATTTATTTTATACGCATACTAGTTTTTGACCGTGACTTCGTCTGCATTAGTTTCATAATTAGAAACGTGAAGCTGACCGGGCGAACTCCTTAAAGACGATAGATAAGAGGATTTTTGATTTGATCAACTTATTTTTTCTTTTTTAATCGGATGAAAAGTATCCTATCCTGTTCTAAGCTATTTCTCCTCCAATTTTCATCCAAACTCGTACTTCCGTTCTTGAGTTATAAATAGTGTAACTAACACAACTTTTTTTTATATATAAAGATATTCGATATCTAATGTAAACAAAGCAAGAAGATAATAATAAAATGTAGGACGTAGCTCCTTACTTTTATCTGAATTCCACATTTTTTTTCCTTAATATACAATAATCATATAATTAGTGAACGCAAGATTATACTAAGATATAAAAAATACATATAAATACTAGCTGTCTATTATATGTACGAATGAGATCACACGTTCTGTTTTCAGTTTTTACTACAAGTGTGAATCATTACTACATACAAAGCGTATTCCGTATTTTATTCACAAGTCTTCGTTCAATACGAGAACATAGATGTTTGTGTGTAAACTGGAAACTTGTAGTAAGATACTGGTTGAATTCACAAATTTTTATAGGCATTAATTTATACAACGGAAATGTAGATAGGTACAATTCTTTTACCTTTCTCGTGAACTATTGTATCTCATTTAAAACAATCTATAATATATTGACACTACATTCTTTGGTAATATTATGTGTTGTAGTAATTATTATTGTCTTAGACTCCGGAATGACTAGGTACTGCAATGCGGAGAGGTTTATCGAGCAATCTGTCTTACTAAAATGTTATCTCGGTATTAGAACAACGTCACAAACAAAGAAAATATAACTATTCATATAAAATAATACGTAAGTAAACTACACTCAAAACCGGAAATATTATTGCTGATTAATATAGTATACAGAAAGATCAGTTAAAAATGTATTTCGTTTTATTTGGAAAACAATTTTGTAGTACCAAATGACAGGATAGAAATTTATCGAGTCTATAAAACAAAAGATCTAAACTTTGTTGTCCACATTTGCATTATTGCTAAAATACGGATTTTAATCTAAAAAGATATTAAAAAATAAATTAAATGACTTTGTGTAAATATAGAATAGTAAGAATATATAATTTTTAAATAAAAGTGGATAGAATGTATATAAAACAAAAATTATTGGAGTTAACAAATCCTGTAACCTATTGTGATATCGGAGAGACAAAAGTTAGTATACATTAGTGATCATTTGACTTCTATATCCCTACCTCGTAATTTATGAAGGGTTTCTTGAAGACGAAGACGAGATGATACTTATATTGATTGTAGTGTTTCTGGTAAGAACACTTGATGCCATCAGAGGGCCACTTTATAGAAGGTAAAAAAAATTCAAATACCTAAACTTACGCTTTAAAATATGTTCTCGCTGAACTATATAGAGAAAATCAGTAAAAACGAAATAAGAATTCATCTAATGTTTAAAGTATAGCGGCTAAGCGCCACCTGTTGTTGCAATGAGTTTGTTCGTGTGGTGGTGTAGATGGCGCTGGCGAGGTAGCGCAGTGGCGTCGCGAGCGGATTGATCGCGCGAGGAACGAAGGCCGAGTTGTCGCGAGGGATCTTAGGTCAGGCGAGCCGCGGTAGATTCAGTTATTTGTCAGCCGCGGCTCGCGCGGGCCGGAGGTCGACAGCGCAGGGGCCGGCTTCACCCCGACCCGTGTTGTTATTGTATCCGCAGCGGTGTTATAAGTGACTATTATGAGCGACAGGGACAGGTCGTCGCCCTCCCTCACGGACACCCCACTGAAGACGTACATCGGTCGTCACGACGACGATTACCCCCTCATAAACGGAAACGGTGAGTGTTCTGTGTAGAGAGCTCGCGAGTGTGGCGGGCCGAGGAGCGGGCTGGCTGGCTGACTGACTGACTGTGGGCTCGCATCACGCGCCGACCCTCGTGCAGTCCGTGCGGCACGGGGGCACTGGGTCAGTATGCCCGCTCATGCGCCCGCTTACATTCGAGCCTCGCATCAACTTTGGCCCGTTTCGTTTTGCCGCAGTGTAGAACGTCGCGGATTCTATCGACCGGCTGGCTCACGGCTCACCCCCACTGGAATGGATTAGATATATCTATCGGTATCAGCGCTCGGGGTCCCCTATTAGAGTAACGTCGTGCACGTGGTGATATATGATTCTGCGGAGACGATGCGAGTCGGCGCCGTGGTACGGACAGTGCGGTCCTCAGCTGCCGATCGATACCCTGTGACCTTACATCTTCAATTCGATAGCTTCCCATTTTTTGCATGAAGGAGGACGCGCCAAATAAACAGAAGCCAATTATGTATTAGATAGTAGGCTTCAACGTGAATGGTTTCAGCGTGACCTCTGTAACACGATCATGATCGTATTCGGAAGTCAAGATAGTCAACTCAAGTATTCTTACTGTTTGGCCAGATGCCCCTGCTGTCTCCAGCGGCGGTGTCACAATAGACACCGGCTGGCCGCGGCCGAACCGTACGAGCTCGTAAATAATCCTCGGAATAGTTCAGAATTTCGAACCGACACCAATATAGTTATATTTAGCTCCGCTTCCGCTACTCTTAGAATATTTCAATGTGCTTCTGACATTCCGAGGAAAACATCGTAAACATAAACCATTGTGAATGCAGCAACTGAACGACGAGTTTTTCATATCGGTGGAACTACAAGCATCGAGCGTTGCGATGAACACCGATGTCAAGGATGGATATACTTCGAACACACAAACACTAGGACGGCAGAGATTACGAGAGAACACGAACAACGGCTCAGTCCTTCAATACCGAAACAAACATACATACTTATACTGACAAAAAATATACATAAAAAATTAAAGATAATTATTATAATTAATTATATCACTCGCTTGGAACAATTTCAGCACAATATAATGATGTAATATGAACATGCTCCTAATAATAATTCGATTATATTTTATCAGTAAAATTTATTAGGCATAAATTTGACAGGCCCGCTGTAATAATTCCTGCCTTCCTATATTATATGGGCCGTATTAATTAATATCACTTTTGGTCTCAACTATGACCTTACGAATTAGATACTATATATAGCCTTTGGATTTCACCAACCATTGATTGCAATTATAGCTGTTCAAATCGAACCCGAGCATTCCGATAAGGCTTAGACGTCACTTCATTTGCATTCACCTCAAGCTATTCCAAATTCACCCTCACACTGAATACTCAAGATGTCCCTAATATTGCTGAAAAATTATCATAGCAAGAACTTTGACCTCTGAAATTAAAATGTGTGTTGCGTACCTCAATCAGTGGAATGTCGCAACTCCTAAGTCATTATCGACACAAGAATCATTCGCAATACAATTATCATAGTCTTATCACTCGCTGTATATAACATTATAAAATTAATTTCCTCGTCGCATGCCTTGTTTATGTTGTGTACTAAAATCGAGGAAGGAAAAAATTACACACAAGTAAATATTTACAAAACGATGTCTTGTTACATCAATCTTCTGTAATTTGTTCCTACATTATAACGATAAGTATTTACGAAACATAAAATTTGCTGTTTGGTTTTTTTATTCAGAAACTTCATATCAAAGGAATAGTTATTTTTTTTGAAGGAACGGTAATAATAAGCCGGATGCAGTTGCGACGAAGTTCCTTTCAGTTATTAGGTGCCCAAACTCAATTACCTTTCTGGCTCAAACTAGATGTCATTCATTAAGAATCAGTCCGAATCTTACTGCTTTCAACTCACCGATTGTGAGAAGACCTTGAAATGGAATATGTAACTTCACAAAACATCACTCTTATTTTAAAATCGTCTATGTGTAAAGAAAGATAATTTTTAATCTACATCTAGAATCTATTGCCCTAATTTCCATTACTTATGTGATCATTTATTATATATTATGTCTGAATTTAAACATTGCACACTATTTAAAGCATTGTTTTATGTAACATTACATTACATTATGATCTCCGTACATTAATATGCACATAGATAAATAACGTAAGCTGTGACGAAATTACAACGAGTATAATTAACGTCCCGCTTAAGTGTTAATGCGGTAGTCGTTTAAAAATAAAATCGAATTAATCAAATGGATTTTGACATAAAATAGTGACAGTCGACCTGTCAACATTTTGATCGCGTCCTATTTAGACGGCTCTTAAATAAGGTTAGATAAGTCGAGGGTTCCAGGAATTTAAATTTCTGTGAATTACCACCTTTTTTTGATAATACAATTCTATTTTGGACCTCACCTAACAAGTAATATAAAATATTTCCATCAATAAGAAGAATGAGAATATTCGTAAGAAGAAATTATATATTTTTAAGTAACACTATATAATATTATACATTTAAATTTATTTAAGTAAGAGGCGCACATTAAATATGACATTTGATATTTGATAGTATGAATGGCGGGAATTGCGGAAGTATATACATATATGAATATGTAAATACGTTAAAAAAATATAATATAATATAAGTCGTTTCTTTGCTTAAAATTTATTCGAATTATTGTGATAATACCCAGTACCAGTAGTGATTTTTTAATCAGCGATCGGCCAAGCAATTTAAAATCTCAAACAGTATTTATCTTCGTATCAAAGTTGCTATCAGTTGTGTGATAAGTTGAAACGATTGCAACATGAAGTCGTTTTAAAGCACTAACAGCTCTAGGTATTTTCGTAAACATTCTCTGTCAAACTGGATTGATCCGATCCGACATTGACACTGTCAAATTACCACACTTCTCATTGGTTATTTAAATAATTCACAATTTATTTAAACGCTGTCACTTTCTGGCCTCTTTTCTATAATTTATCTCAACTGAGGTAACATATGAAGATTTTAATTATCTATTCTACATATTATAGATACTATCGCTCGTCACAAACCACAAGCATGTGGTAATAATATTTAATCGTATGGTTTTTCTACTTATACAATTATCTATAAAATAAAATACAGATTAATCCAATTGAAATTTAACATTGACGTTGAAATGTTCCGTTCTGAAATCACGTTTGAAATTTAAATTTCGTACTATTAATGCTTTCGATTTTAGGTAACATGACAGTGGCTTTCAGTAATTCGACATTGAATAAATCGAAAAGCGAATATCAAATACAATACATGAAAATATGTGAACGCGAGATTTCTGAACGATTTCGTAGGTGTCAAGTCGTCGGAATGGTAAGTAGGCAACAATGCTGATGCCTGATTGGAATGACCGACTGTGAAACGATCCCAGATGGTGTCGCGTCACATACTTAGCATCATATTATGTAATACAGTACTTCACTACTCGCGAAATATTGTTAGTGACACCTGAATAGTGAATACAGCTAAGCATTGTGAGATTAACAAGTCGAAACTAACGAAAGACTTTAACAAAAATCCTTTCGAAAACATACAACATATTCTATCCTGTGTGGTGGATTTTATGAGAATATTATGTACAAACACGAGTGTACAGCTTACATTTCTAATTAAAGAAAACGAGGCGCTGCGCCGTGTTGATGTTAGCTATTTGCTTACTTATAAAATATAAATTATATTTGATGTCAAAGGTTACGTTTAAGGTGTTAACAAAAATAAACACTAATGATATATTAATATATGAAAAAGTTATATTTAAGGGACCTAAAAAAATAATATAGGCGGAAGTTTTTGAACGAAAATGGACAGTAACACATATTTAAATTAGGAAAAGTATTGTTTTTAGTGGCCCAAAATTCAATTCTAATCTTTTAACTAATTCAAATTTTCAATCAGCAACTTTGTTTCTTATCTCATATAACCTAATATCGTATCTCCCATCTTGAAAGTTTCGACGTTCTGATTCGTTCAGGAACCGTCCTGTCCCGATGTGGAACTTTGATATCTTTTTAAATATCATTTATTTTATCATTAAAAACGTTTTAATTTTGTAATTTTTCTAAAATTATAATCGTGCCATTAATTATACTCTGTTGAACTGTTAGCACGGTAGCTAATGGCCGGTCGTTGTAATATGCTGAATTTACGTGTGCTATTACAAGATGTACGATTATTTTAACAACTCTATATAAAAGAGGTTTTAATTTATATTCCTGACCTCTAATTTGTAAGCACGTGAGGCAGAGTTAAATTTGTTCCTAAATATGACATTAAATGTAACTATCAAGTTTTTGGCGGGCTGTCAAAAACAAGACCTTCCCGCGCCGACGTTAATTTTCACGCATTCATTACACTTATGTGATTTTGATTTGATGATTCAATAATGCTTGTAAATTTAACTAATAATAGTTAGTTTTAATACAAGCATGCTTCGTTTTAAATAAACATATTTTTTTCCTCATTAAGGATGTCAAATAACCGATAGATCATCGTCGAGACACTTGAGTTTCGCTGAATCTCAAAACGTTTCTACATTTACGATAAAACTGCGACTTAACAATAATATAATACAATCAGCAATATAGAAGTTATAAATTGCAAGTGTTATATACTCGTACATATTTGTACAGAGTTTTCGTTCTTTTCCCTCGGGTTTTCTAAAAGCAATCGGATACCGTCATGGGATATTGCGAGGAGCAGACGAAAATATAAAAGAACATCGGAAATAACTTCGATTGTACTTGTACTACTATATTCAGTTTCGATATCAAACTAACTGAACTGAGATCTTCAATCTATTATTTATGTACTTCTTTGTAATTGATTATTTCTAACCGTGTCACAAAAAATCAAGGTCGTGTTTGAGGTCGCTTTTTACATTTAATTATTATTGACGTAATACGTCAAGTGTTGTATGTAATGAAAATAAACTTAAGTTGTGTTTTTACTACTTTACAAGGATGCCTAAACATTAGAGTAATTGGCATTAGTAATAAAATTCCCGCGTTAAGGAAAATATGTCCAGTGGTCTACAAACGGACGGAAATTAAAATTATGTTTTATATTTAAATAAATTTTCTTCTTAATGTACATATTGCAAAACTAATATATATATATCGTTTAATAGAAAAACTATTGTTATATAGGATGTATATTCTTCTAATGTAGGAATAGTGTGAGCACTTTAATTGAGGAGAATAAAATAACATCTGCTATGTAGTGTTGACAATTTTGGAGGGTCAAGGATCGCCTTATCAAGACGTAGCCCGCGTTGTGTGCGTGTGATTCTTAATTCGTCAGACAAACAACTATTGCTTTTATAAATTGTTTTGACGATTGCCGATCATGTAGATGATGATAGAGTATTATTAAATATATTAATATATATCTATGTGTGTCAGTTCGCTCGAGAGAATCTTGTAATGCAAATTTGGTCTCGTTTCAATACATGATTATGTCGTCTCATATGCATAGGTCACTTCTTAACTTGTAAGGTTGCGATGTTGTTCAAGTTCTTATGAAATTTAAAATTAACTTAATGAATTTATTATTAACAAAAAATTGTTTTTATTACGGGTTCGAAACATCTATACACTTTCGTTGGTCGAAGCATGAGTTATATTTATTTTAATTTTCAAAAGCATCTGTCAAATTATCGGTTTACCATAAATTATTTAGCATTCAAAAAATTGTTTTATTTTCTATATAATTCTTAAGAAGTAATACATTTAT